AGGGATGTGTGCTCATGGTTTATGGTATTGATCAGGAAAAAATTAATTGCGAAATGTTATTTAACCTATTTTGTCAGTATGGCAACGTCTTGAGGGTAAAAGTTTTTTACTTCAGTTTTTTTTTTTAAATTCTGTTTACCTTATCCTGGTTTTTAGATTAGATTCATGGCTACAAAAAAGGACACAGCCATGGCTGAGCTAGGAACACCAATGGCGGTAAAAGAAATAGATTTTGTAATTCTAAGCTTGACAAATCTCTTTAAGGTTACACATGTTCTGAAGTTTCTTCAAGGAGTGTCACTTTTCGGACTAACCTTGCAATTGAAACCGAGCATCCAAACAAGTGTCCGGGATGTCCAGTAGGTATTTTGCATACATGCGATAGGGTGAAAATTTGCTAACCCCCCCAACCCTAGGACAGGAGAAAAGCTGACCCCCCTTCACCAGGGGTCAGGTGGTAAAGTAGTGATTCGTTTGAGATTGTTCAAACGACCTCGTATGCCTACGGAGGCCTCCGCCAAATACATTGACAGAATAGTGCGAAAGACACAGACACACGTGATACACATTAAGAACCATTTGCGTTATAACAAATAATGATGAAAATAACTTATGAATAATTAAGCTGTTTTTACAGGAGAATCATGCTAAAAGAATGATTCTGCCACAGAACTGTTGTATAAGAAGATTCCACTCGGGATTTTCAAAGGTCAGCTACAACAGCAAGAGATTGCCTCAATATTGCATACAACAGAACGACATTTTGGATTGAAAATCCTGCTGTTATAGCTGTCGTCAGTTGCGAGAGTTTAATCTAGAAAAAAGGAGAATCTCCTTCTTGAGCGTTATATAATATGTATTACTTCAATTTGTTTTATCAAGAAATACTTAAAATTGTTCGTAAGGCAGCCTCCCACTCAACTGCCTTGCTCATCAGAAACTTTCTCAATAGGCGGCTACTATGAAGGCGGATCGATGTGCGAGAGTATTAGCGATATTGAGGTAACCTCCCTTAATATAGCAAAACTTCAGAGTGAATTCGATTTGGGAGAGATCCAGGCTTGCAATTGGACCACGTCTCTTTGATAAAACCGCTTGCAAGCTGTGTAGCTTCCTTCTCTGGAAACGAAACGCAACGTTAGGGTCATATTCAGAATCCTCATATCTTTCGCTTTGAATTTATAACTTGGAGGCTTCGAGAGGGTGGATTATTTGTATTCGAAATTCAGGTACCGTAAGGACATTAAAGGATGCCAACAGGGGACGCAGTACAAATACATACCCACCCTCTCAAAGTTAAACATCTGAAGGCGGAAGACATGAGGGCTCTGAATATAACCTTAATGCGAAAGTATCCAGGGAGAGAAGTTACAAGCGGTTCAATCCAGAAGACGTGGTCCAATTGCAAGCCCGGATCTGTCTTAGATCAAACCAAATCACTCTGGAGTTTCGTTATGTCATTGATGAGGTTGCTTAATATTGCTAATACCCTCGCAAATCCATT